AGTTATTTTCTTATCTTTATTATTATTATTGTAAATATTCTGTCATTTGATTCACTTTTAAAACTCTTATCACTCGTGATATACTTTTTGGCCTTATTTCAAATGAGCGTTATTTAGCTCTTAATTACATAATTGTTCATAAATTATAGTAAATTTAATGAAAGGGGAGTTTTAGAAACTTTTTGGACACAACTTATTAAATGAATTTATAAATTAAATGTTAATACAATAATTTACAAAATATTTAATTCATAGGTTCGACACATTTCACAGAAATGTCATCGTTTTCCGAAAGCAAATTTGAAAAACTCATAAATCCAAACAATTTTAGAAATATATTGAAATACAATGAAAAACAGTTGAGTAGAGTGTACCCGAAAGGACCACGTATGAATTCATCCAATTATGATCCCATCCGGATGTGGAACTCAGGCTTACAAATGGCTGCACTTAACTATCAAACGCCCGACAAATCTATGCAATTAAATGAAGCCGTGTTTATGCAAAACGGCAAAAGTGGTTATGTTTTAAAACCTCAGTATATGTTTGACGACAACTATAATCCTTATGAAAAGCCGTTAGAATTACAGAATTATAATCCAGTTATACTGACAGTTAGGGTAATAAATATTACTATTTTTTCAGTTTTAAAATATTTACATTAAAATACAATCTTCAGGTAATCGGTGCCAGAAATCTAAAGAAATCACTGAAAGGAATAGTCAGTCCTTCCATCGAAATAGAGATAATAGGCGTTGACTATGACTGCAGAAAGTGCTTAACTCGAGTCGTCCGTAAGTTTTTATATAAAACTTGTAAATAAATTGAATATTAATATACGAGTCGGACGTATAGATGATAACGGCCTGAACCCCGTTTGGTCGAGTGAGACGTTTGTGTTTAACATAACGTGTCCCGAATTGGCGTTAATCCGCTTTTTGGTCTGTCATTTGGACACTTTCGACGACTCGAGTTTTGTCGGACATTCAACACTCCCTATCACTTGTTTGAGACCAGGTTTGGCTCATTCTTCAACACTTAATGCATTGATTGTTAATTTTGTTACCATTTTGTTGTGAATGTCCGACAGGTTATAGAAGCGTTCAATTGAAGAATGAGTTCAGCGAAGAACTCGATTTATCGACACTTCTTATTCATTTGGATATCAGAAGAGCTAAGGTTTGGTTTAATAAATGAAATAATTTTAATGCAATAATTAATGCAATAAAAAATTTAATTATTAATATTTTATTTTAAAGGATAATAATATCAAGACTTCAGTAGAAATGTTAAAACATTTATCGGAAAACTTGTCTAAAATGATCGCCGACTCAGAAAAGTGCGGAAACGAAACGGAAGTGAAAAGATTTAAAAGTATTTTCCAGAAAGTG